AAATCTAGTAGTAGTTTTTAGAGTTTTGTACTGTTTTTAAATCATGTATTCTCCAATTTAACAGCATACTGTAAATGTACTCCTCTCCGACAAGCGTATTCCCAAAACAGCTTCTTGGTTTATTTTTCTTGTTGTATTGTTTTTGATGATGGGATATATATGAAAAGGATAACGGACCCACGATATGAGTTGTATTTAAAGTTTAAATAATTATAATGACTGCAATTTATTTCCTGTTTAATAAAATTTTTGAAGCAGCATCTTGAGTGGTGAATCATCGAAGTAATATTCAAAAAATACAAAAAATGTAGCCACTAATATGTGTGAATTGAGAATATTTCATTTATTAGTTTCTAATAAATTATTCTAGTTAGTACGTTCTTGTTACAATTATACGTATATTTACTATTTTAGAATTTGTCGAAACAATCATTTAACTGAAAAGCTAAAAAATAGGTTTCCATTTATATTAACTTCAAAAGTCAAAAGAAGAAATCAAGTTTATCTATAAAAACATTGTTCGCTGAACCCAAAGTAAATTAAATCATAAATGATTTTGACAGTAACAATGTGAGTGAAAAATTAATTACTGGAGAAAAATGAAACTAACAAAAAAATCAATTTATAAACAAATATAAGTTTTTTGAATAGTAAATTGTATTCGTTAAAAATGATGTTTTTTAAGTAACAGTTCCGTATTTTTGGAAAAATGTTTCTCGCTTATGTACTATTTTTGAATTTATGAAAGTTGCACACCTTGGTTTAACAGGAGAATAAATTAAGGTAAATGTGCAGTTCTAACCTCAAAAATTCTCTTATCCATGTTTCGGGTATAAGAAGTGTTTGATTGATTCACAAGCCTTAGCAGTGTTGCTCTGAATTATGGATTCGAAAAAGTTTTCCGTTCGGCAAAATTGAAGCATTGAGTTATGCAGCCAGTAATTTTTCATTTAGAAATCAGTTGAATTTCTTTTCCCAAAATGCATAGAGTCCCCATCTGTTTGTCGGGAGCTTAAGCCCGAATTTGGTGAAATCTTTTCGAGGATACGACGGCAATTTCCCCCTGTAAAGACGAACTGCTCTTAGGCCGGACACGGTACTTATAGAAGCAGATTGCGTACTCTTAAGCCCGACAAGCGCACGGGCTTTTTCGTGATTTTACGCCCGCGGCACGGGTCTGTAGAGTCGCTCAGCATAATAATAATAAAGGTCTTCATTAAAAAAAAAGAGAGATACACAGGGAAATGTCAATAGATTTCCACAAATTTTGTAAATTTGTATATTTTAAGATGCATGGATCATAGCCGCCTCAACGTTGTGATGCTGATGACTATATCTTTACAGCAGTTTCAGAAGGTGATACAGACTGGAGAGTGCTTTTTCCTTACAGCCATAGTACGACAGCGATAAAGTTGACCATAGAGTTGACAACAGTACCTTCAACTTTGAACAAACTGATTGTGTAGCAGCAAACTGACCTGTCATGAGTTCTCCTCAAGAATGGGTTATTATAGCTCTCACATTCGTCGCGTTGTAATACTTTTACAGATATTTTCAGTTGTTTTGTCAAAATTTTATTTAATTGAAAATTTATTTGTGTATGCGTATTTCTATGTATGTATCTATTGTTCTTTATAAAATATTTAGTTCATGTAACATTAATTAAGGTAACTCTACCCTATATGGCCTACCTAAATTTTGAGAATTTTTTAAATTTTTGTAAGAACATGAAATGGAAGAGTAATGGTGAGAGTTGAAAGAGGTTACATTTTTGTACATAATATTCAAATTTCAGACTTTTTCAAAATTGTAGATTAAAACTATCCAGGGAAAACTTAGCGGCATCAAATAGAACGCATATTGACTCGTCAAATCACCATCACAAATAATTCCATTGTAAGTAAACGAAACGGTGTATTACTTTACTGATTGCTCCTAAATGGTACGTTCTAGAATGTATCCCAGTGGCGATCTACCACAGTTTGTTTGAAACATATGAGAAAAAGCCAATAGGCCATATTGGGTACTAGACCATATTGAGTTCAGTTACCTTATTTTAGTTCTATTTTTGTAATTTCTTTAAGACCTTTTCTTCTCAGAAGAATTTGCGAATGTGAATAGTTGAGAGGGGAAAATCGCTGTTCTGAGAGGATGGGGTTTCTTGGTTTCAAAAGTAGTCAGGAAGTTGTGTAGTAACCATTATATCGAGTTGCTGGTGTTCAGATAAAATGTAAATACCAACAAATTAAATTAAATTATATTTGTATCGTTTCAAGTCTTGTTTTTGTTTTATACATCAGTTCTTTGTCCCTATATTCATCCTAGTGTTCTGGAAAATTAAATCGATTCTTGTTGGGTAAATTTCTTAGTCAAGTTCACCTATTTATTTACAAGTAAAAATTACTTTCAGACCGTTTTCTATGTCGTCCAAAATTTAAATTATTTAAGTATTTGTCTGACAAATGTGGGTGATGACTTATGTTGTGAACGTAAAACCGAGATATAAAGGAAATACATTTATCTGCAACACAACGTACAGAACCTAAAAAGTATTATTTTAACTAACTGCCCATTCACAATGGACATAAGACATAAGAACGAGCGCATAACATAATTTACGTTTTTGGTTTGTGTCTGGCTTATGCTTATCTACGTTCACAGTGGACAGAGTGAACTCTGTAAGAATTGTTAAACTGCGCAAACGCAGAACGGAATAACTCCCGGCTAAACATAGAAACGACTAACCTCAAACTGAGTCAATCAAAATATCTAACCAACAATTTCATACGATATTCGAACTTGACAACTCGCAGTACAGAACAGACTCGCAGTGTGAAGGTTTGATTATAATTTATAATATATAATCAAAGATGTGAAGTGCCAAGTGCCAACTGTCAAAGGGAATTCAATAGCAGCATTCAAAAGTCCCTAGATTTTAACATAATTTTGACATAATTCGTGCACAAAGTTGAACTTATTTCAACTTTGTGTACGCACGCAAGGATTACATAAAACGTTCATAAGCATAAGAATTACGTTCGTCCACTGTGAACAGGGGTACACGTTTTCCATCGTTTCAACTTTACGTATTTATGTAAGCTTTATGTACTTGTTATGCCTTATGTCCATTGTGAATGGGCAGTAAGACAGTATTTCCTTTGTTAATAAGAAACATGCTTAATGTGTACATTTTACTGTTGGTAAATATTTACACAAATTATGAGTAGATTTCGGTATTAATGCACGAATTTTTAGTTTTACCGGAAATGTCCTTGTCGCCTCTATTCCCTTTAATCAAAGTATCGGATCACCAAATAAAAACCTAGTCAAGAGTGTTATGTCACCAGATTTTGTTTTTTCCGTATGTCGTACTTTGCATAGATGCAGTGTAATAGTAATAATAACAGTACCTACTGTATTCCCAAATTTTCGGAAATGGAATGAGCTGTTCCCAATTTAATCAATAAAATAAATTGACTCATTCATTAATTTTTATGAGTCACGCTGTATAAGAAATTTAAAAACTTTTATTGCAGTGATACACCACAAGTATAGACTCATCATATTTTTCACATTTTGGAGAGGATTTATTCGGCAAAATTTTGCGCTGACGTCATCAATTTTTGAAGAGGATAAACAGATATATTTTGTTTAAAACGTTACCATGCTTACGATAAGTAATCTGTAAGATTTCAAAGCATACAGTTGTGCAGTTCCTGATTTAATCAATAAAATAAATTGACGCTTTCATTAATTTTCTTAGTCACACGGTATAAGTAATTCTAAAAACTATAAGTACGTTGATAAGCCACAAGTATAGCCATAATATTTTACATATTTCAGAGAGGATATATTCGGCAAAATTTTGAGATAACGTCATAATTTTTTTGGGAGGTGATAGACGAATAAAGTTTGCTTAATGATTTGCCATGATTACTATAACCTTAAAATAAAATATTGCAAAATATTGTTATACGATTTAGATTTTTTTTTTAAATCTGGGTGTCCAGGGTGAAATCAAGTGCAGGAGTTTCTCATTTTATAAAATTAAAAAAAAAAACTTACTATTATAAATTTTGGTGATGACGTCATCCTATTAGTGGTGGGGATGATTAGCTAGTTTTAGTGACATGAGATAGTTTATGCCCAGAAAGTACAAAGAATAGATGGCACTTTTATTTAAAGAATTTTTTAGCTTTGGCAGGTCAACCGCTTTTTCTTTTCTCCCCGATTGGCACTGCTTTCTCAGCTGGCGGAGCTGCTACCAATTTTAGCCTAATGGGAATAGGTAAACCAACAACATGTTTATGTATCATGTTTTTCAAGAATGATGGATAGTTCCAAGTTCCACATTTCCATTCCGATTTTTTAATGGCTAACATCATGCACCATGCAGAAAAATATGTTATTTTGAAATCATGAAATGTTTCAAAAGTTTTCGCAGAGTCTAACTGCTCTACCTGAAGTTGGTATGTTAGAAATCTCGTAATTATCCTTAATATAGGAAGGCACAGAAAGAAATACAATACTGCTATTAAGTACTAGTATTACACTGCATCTATTGTTTTTATATACGTGTCCTGGCAAAAATGTTGATGACGTCATCACAAAATTTTGTAAAGAAAAAACTCATTTGAAACAGGGGCATAACACGCTTCTTTACATTTACTTTACATTACATTACATACATATCATATGAATTTTTTGTTCTAGCATGCTCCTGTCCATACTCACAGGACTTTTTTACACAATTTATGTTGCCTTTGGTGTCAACTCTTGTGGAATTCTGAAAAAAATATGAATATTTTAAACTATGTTTCTTCGAATGGGAGTAGTAACACAGAATGATGCTCTGTTTCAATAAAATGTATTTTAATTTTACTTAATGCTTTGAAATTTTACAGAGTTCAAAACTATACGTGAATGCAAAAGAATTCGAAGAAAAGATATCCAAACACAAAAATGTTGTATAAAGAGTAAAACTAGTTCCACGTGTGCTAATAATTTAATGAAAGTATAACATACATTTGTTTTTATATTACATAGTATTTTTAAGTTATCCAACGGAGATTATTAAAATATAATTCATTATGTACACAGATGTTCCAAATATTTGATTAAACTGGGAAGTTTAGTCACAAAGTTTAAAATGAAAGTATCGTGTACGGATTCGTCCGTGTGGGGCGCTATACTCTAGACATTTTTTTTCAAATTAAGAGTGTTAATTATTCATTAAATTAATTGAAATGTTTGACCTACACGTCACTTAGACATGTTAACATAACAACTGTAAAATTATAATTCTAACTTATTTTTTACAACATAGTTTTTCACTTATGATCACGCTGAAAAAAATTAATTAGTAAAATACCTTAATTATTTTTTACTTTTAACTCACCTGAGTTTCACCTAAAGACTTTAGTTCCACCGGACAATTTTCTTCTGGGTAATACTTTTTGGGTTCTAAGTAGCTTTGCTCCCTGTCATTTTCTGGATCAGTCCTGCTAAATATTCTAAAAAATTTCAGGTGATCTCTGGATCCCAATGACTTTCTTGATACGGTATTTAGGTTTTTCTGATTATTATCGGTACTGGAAGGTTTTTTATTTACAAATGGTACGTAGCCATAAACGTAGTCTTTTAAGTTCGAGAATAAACTAGACTTTTCACTTATTTCTTCGTAGCTAGAGGATTCACCATATGCGTATTCGTATATGTTACCTTCTCTATTTTGAATTTCATCTGTAAGTGTTATTAAAGTTTTGTTTTCGGTATATTCAGTGTTTTTTTCTCTAGTAGCTGCCATGTCAGATATCATCTTAAGAATATTCTTTTGGTCCTTGTCAATTTCATTTTTCAGTCTTTTGTATCTTCTATTTGTCTTTACCAAACGTACTATGATACAGATTGAAATTATTGTAGTAAGCAGTGCATATATTATTAAAGTAATAAATACTATTACAAATATAACGTCGCCTGTTACCATTACTGCGCGAAAGCCAGTTGGTGGTTTTCTGAAAAATAGAAGCGTATAATAATATAAACATATTTATATTAAGTGCTACGTAGTTCTAGTATTAAAAGGGAATGCAAGAAATATGTCTACAAGAAAAAAAAATACGTGACGAGAATAAAATAAATTAAAAGTACATCACCAAACTTTTTTAACTTCCTAGGTCTGTTTGTCCCCACCAAAAGTTGATGACGTCAAACGTTATTAGAAAACCCCATTTAAACATACAATATTCCATCATGACTCTTTAACTTATCCAAAACAATTGATAAGGCACTGAGTAACATTGTTTTAAAGATTAGAATTCTTTAACAAAATTTAGAAATTACATACCTATTCTTCAAAAAAAATATGTATGACTTCTCAAAAAACTTACATAAAAGTTGACTAAAAAATTTTCTGTAATAAGATCTTACTGGTATTTTAGTGACATGAGTATCAGAATCGGGTTAAAAGTCTTTCCAGTTTTCTCACAAACGGCCCATCTATTTTTTATTATCAAAAACGACTTATTTAATTTCGTGAAATTCACAGTGCAGGATTATGTCGAAATGGTGTTTGTGATGCATACATTAAAATAAAATTAAAATGTTTATCCTTACGGAAGGGGAGAACTGATTGTGCTTCAGGATTGAGCGATGTTTTGTATTAATAAACTTAGACCAGTTTTTACTAATTTTAAATAAGTATCTAGTACAATGTATAACGGAGAGAATACAATAATTGTACGCACTATTTCTGCAATAAATAATATAAAAATGTACATTTCTTATTTTGTCACCTTATGCAGTCTTTTTAAAAAAATTGTATAAATGTTATCTTAAAATTATGTATATACCTACATACTTACAGTCAGGAAATGTAAAAACTGCGCTTATTTTATTAAAAATACGTTGACAATTATAAAATTACTAAAGGTATTATGAACATAAAGAAGAGACACTGGTGGAATACACACAAGTCATCACTTTCTGTTGAGGCTAGGTTTTTCCGTATCTGCTTTGTGGATTTTGGTTACCGGTTAGCGATTTTACGCGTTTATTACACGCTAATCGAAGTGTAATTTCTGTGTAACATTTTAACATTTGAAAACTTTACGCAAAGTGTATTTATTAGACTATTTCCTTCAAAAAAATTGTTCCAATCAAATCGTTTATATTTCTATATTACAACGTACAACCAATAAGAATTTAATTTCAACGATAATTTTGTTCTAGTGCAAATTATAGATAATTATGAAAAAAAGAACGTACCTAACAATTTTGTGAATTCAAATTTGTAATAATGTAATAATAATAAAAAAACGATAAATAAAATAAAATATCTAGATAAATAAATATCCTTAACTTAAAATGAAAATAATAATAATAATATACTTTATTTCCATAGACTATATACATAATTATAATATCGGAAACGTCACATAGGAATAAATATATTGTGTGGCCTGCTGCCGGGGGGTCAGAAAATAGAATCGTGCACTTTTCAATATCTGTGAGAACACGGAAAGCAATGTAAATGAAAAAAAATTATTATCAGTTTCCGAAAATAGTGTTTGTTTATCTACACTTCGGAAAACCGCACGTCCGGTTAAATCCCTCATTAAAAACTCATACACAAAGAAACACCGATTTCAAAACCATAAGTTCGTGGTAACACTGTAACTTGAAACTACGTCACATACACGCACGGTGACCATAACGTCACCATAATGCCGTCAGCTGTTAAAAACACACTCTGCATAGACCCTTGACATTATCCACTTCAAAATACCACAAAGCTTCCGGAAGTTACCGCACAATTTATTGGAAGTCGACATATAGCTACCGCACGCTAGAATTTCTCCCCACTCTAGGTGTTGTTTTTTCCTGTTACTAAGTACAACAACAACAATTTTATTATCTTCATCATGAATTACTTTAAAAATTATGAACAAGTGAAGCCAAACACGAAGTCATGCTCAATTAGTCTCATATGATATACAAATTTTTAGGTTATTTAGACAGAACCTCCCTTTACCCCTGAAATATAGTCCAACAAATCCAGCTTTTTCGAAAAATTATAACATTTGATGTGGCAAAATTTTATTTATTTTATAACTGTAAGTTAAAAAAATGTAAATAATACCCGTTGCAATTTAAGAAAGCATATAAAGAAACAGAACCCGTGACTTTGACGTGCTTGGTGTTACCAGTGCCGAAACCAAAGCATTTTTAGGTATAGGCGAACCTTGCGTTAGCCGCCCCTCCCCTACACATAAAAATGCAATTTTACAGAACAGTTTTATTTATATTTTTTAATAAGGATGCAAAACAGATACTATGATAAAATATAAAAAAAAAGAAAAAAAATCGAGATTATACATATAGGTATATAATATGTATAAATCTATAAATATTGTATAAGTTCAAAATAAAATCAACATTAAAAAACCTGTCGCACCGGTTACATGTTTCTGAGCTTCCGTTCAAAATAAAAAAGATTAATATGACATAATTCTTGGTACAGTTTTGGAAATTTCATTCTACCCTATAAAATTTTATTGACGATAACGAGACGGACAGTACAATGGTAAGAAATATTTATGGCTCCCACCAGTTCACTCGAATTTGTCTGAGAATATTTGGCAGGTAGTTGTACTCATAAAATAGTGGTAATTTCCGTTCATAAGTAACGATGGTCCCAGCCTGGACCTGGATTATTCTGGTTTCTAACATCTGGGGATTACCGGCACGCGACAACTTAAGTTGTAAATATCTCTTGCTATTGTACAACTGTGCGTTTCGTTATTGCCAATGAAATTTCCAAAACTATACAACATAATTTTTGACGAATTTGGCGCCCCTTGTCGTTGGCGCCCCTAGGCAAGGGCCTACTCGGCCTATAGCTAGTTTCGGCACTGGGTGTTACTAAATAGTTCGACGCGATTACAAGTGGGCCGTTTCACCGTAACGATTGGGGTGCTCTTATATTGTAATAGAATGTTATTATATAATTCGGATTTTTTTGAGAACATCTAGATATTTAGAGTAAAAACTCAAAGCAAATTCATGAACCACGAGTACAGAGGAATGTTAATTTTTAAATTTAAGTAGCATTTACCAAACACAATTTTCAAGTGATGAGATTACATTGTTTCGGAAATTATTAATAAGTATTAATAATGTGTTTATTGCCCAACAGCTCATAAGAACCTATTACAGAGCAATTGATATAAACTAAAGTATTATTAATACAAAAAATTTAGTCTAAAGAGTTTAGACAGTACTTCCCTCGCTGTCTGAAACATGACGACGGCATTCCTATAGGTTTTTTTCTCATTACATTTTTGCGAGGACACGTATATCAGTTTGGATAGATGTAGTGTAATACTAAAAATAAAAGTACTGTATTCCCAAATTTCGGGAAAATGAATTGGGTCGTCTTGAATATTGATTTATAATCAATAAAATAATGAAACAATTTACTCACGTATGCCACCTGTATTAGTAGAGGCGACACAAAATCATTTATGTATAAGCATTCTTAATATAAGACAACAAGCGGTAACACTTGTTGAGATTGTACACGTGAGAGTCAAACAGAAAAACTGCAAACAATACCGATGGTCACCCAGACTTTTTTATTGCTTCGACTTCCGCTTATTATATAAAACATTGGATTTTATTTTAATTTTTGATGGTGTAATTCACAATTGGTTGATTATAACTTATCTGTACCACATTCACGGAACGTAGTCAGTGCAACAAAACAAATACACGTCTGTAATGTTAAAGTAAATGTAAATAAGCGTAATACGCCTATGTTTCAAACGTGTTTTTACTTTACAAAATTTTGTGTCTATCAAATTGGGTTGGTGCAATGTAATACTAATAATAACAGTATGTAATTAATAAAGAGAAATGTCGTATAATGACCTACAGCCGTATACACAGTAATATCATTTTCGATTATAAAATGTTGGATGTATCACTTATTAGGTGCTATGAATTCAAAGATTTAGGTGTTGTTATGGACTCCAGTATGTCGTTTGTTTCACATATTAGCTACATCACTAATAAGGCAATGAAAATGTTAGGGTTTGTCGTAAGAAACACTAGGGAGTTTCATAACACTGACTGTATACTTTTGCTATTTTATTCATTTGTCAGAACTGTGTTAGAGTATTGTTGTATTGTATGGAACCCTCATTATAATGTTCACGTAGCAACTATCGAATCTGTTCAAAGAAAACTGTGTAAATACGTTTATTTCAAAAAGCATGGTGTTTATCCAGTAAGGAATTATTCACAAGAGGAACTACTTGATGAATTAAATTTAACATCGTTGTGTAATCGCAGAAAATACCATACTGTTATGTTTTTATTTAAGATTCTGAATAATATTATCCTAGATAGTAACATATTGGCTGAGATCAATTTTCTTGTACCTCGTACAAATGCTCGAAATCCACTGTTGTTTCATTACAGTTGTACTAACACGAATCAGTATTTTAACTCTCCTATAATACGTATGTTAAGAGAATATAACAAGCACAAATTTGGTTTAGATTTATTTGGGATGAATTTTAGAAAATTTCGAAGTAAATGCAAATGTATATATTTTAGTTAACTTATTCAGTTACTCTCAGTTATAATTTCACTTTGCAATTATTCATTAGTGTTAAGTAATTTCGTCTATTGATTAGTAAGTGTTTTTTGTATTGTAATAATTGATGTGTACTATATTTTCCTGTAAAGGCCTCTGGCCGTTGGATTTATTAAATTATTATTATTATTATTATTAATATTATTATCTCCAAATTTTTGGAGAAAATGGAGTGAACTATTCCTGAATTAATCAATAAAATAAATTTACTCATTCATTAATTTTTCTTAAGCGACCCGTTAAGCAAATCTAAAAAATATGCATGGAATGATAAATCACAAGTACAGACGAATCATATTTTGTACATTTTAGATAGGACATATTCAGCAAAATTTTAGGGTGATGACCAGTTTTTTAGGGGGATGAGCAAATACATTTTGATTAAAAATTTACCATGCTTACGATAACTGTAATTCATCTCCAAGATTTCAAAGCATTCGGTTTTGTAGTCCCTGATTAAATAAATAAAATAAATTCAAGCTTCATTAATTTTTTTGAGTCACTCTGTATATACAATTCCAAAAAATATTAATGGAATGATAAATCACAAGTATTGTTTCATCATACTTTGCACATTTAAGATAGGATTTATTCAGCAAAATTTTGAGGTGACGTCATCAATTTTTTGGAGGGGACAAGTAAATATATTTTTAATAAAAATTTATTATACTTAAAACCCATGATGATATTCCTAATATAAATACAAAATTTCACAACAATCGGTCCAGCACTTTCGGAAATTATCTGTTTAACAAAAATCCGGGACGGCAGACAGACGGAAATGGGACAGCTATTTCTTCGTCTTCTAGGGGTCACGAAAGGTCGGGAAAATGTAAAAGTAGAGAGTCGGCGGCCGACGGACTCGATTACAATACTTTCTTCACTTACGCTCGGAAAGTAATAACTAAATAAATAAGTACAAATATAAAAAGATAAATATACGGGATACGTGAGCACTCATTAAGTCTAAATTAGGAGTTAGATAATAATAAGTAGATAATATATAGTAAAAAAAAAAACAAAAATTAACATATTAAGTAAAAATTAATAATAATAACTAATCTGTTGCGAAAATGCTTGAAGCTTAAATACTTAAGGTCTTTCAGATTTATATTAAAAATGTCACAGTTATAACCCTCTTTCGGAGGGTTTTACAGCGAACGGCAGCTCTTTAGCCGGGGCGGGTCGCGGTTCGGAGAGTTCTTATTATTTTTTTTTGTATTGGGCGCCACGTAGCTTCCTGTTGGGGTAGTTTACTCCGCTACGTCGAGTAAACAGTCGAGAAGAATCAAGCCACAAGAAAACACAGGAAAAAAAAAACTAAAAATATATTCAACGGATAATAAAATTGACAAGTGTTGATTAAATGAAATTCTTCTAATATTTCACAAAAAAAAAAAATACCATTAACGTCCAGAAGGGACTATCATTGAAATATATTAACGTAATATATCAGAAAATGAAATGTATTCATGTGTCCTCGTACAAACTATCTTGCGATATGATAAATTAAAATACAAAAAAAACTTCCAAGAATTTCGATAAAGATAGCTGTGACCGGGCGACTAAATGGAAAATTAGAACTATAAGGCGTTAGAGTGGACTTAGCTCGTA